TTCTATACTCGTTCGTTTCACTTCTTTCTTTTGAATACGTACGCAGGATTTTTCCATTTTTTTCTTTTTTTTTTCTGTTTTTAATTCTCTGTATTTTCTCTTTCGTTTTCCTTTTCGTTGTTGTTGCTTTTTTGGGGGAGAAGAGGGGGGAGGGGCAAAACAACTATAAGTCTCTGTAGGTATATACGTATATGTATATATATATATATATGTACACATTGTGTGAGAAGGGTAATGGGCCCGTGTCACCTAATTTCGTGCGATTACTTTTATATCCAGTTCGAGGGCCAGATCGTGGATATATTGGGCATGATTACAGAACAGTACTGTAATAACATGCATGGGGAGGGAAGGGAGGGGGGGCAATAATTTGCAGTGGGATTCGATGGAGATTGTCGCTGTGTGTCGCGCGGTGTGTTGGATTAAAAAGGTATAGGGGGAGGGAGGGAGAAAGTGCAGGTTGCAAATTTTTCGAATCCTCTTTTCTTTGCGAGAAAAGCTGTTTCTTTCAATCACCTGTTCTATCTGAATCTCTGCCCTCTGAATTTTTTGAAAAATTTTCTCGATGATTATCGTTTGGTTTCTTGATTATTGGCGGGATTTCTTTCGGATTTGAATTTTCAAAATCGATATCGAAAGGAGAAAAAGGAAAAATAAATAAATAAAAATTGAGAGATTAAAGAAGTCTTTAGTCTTTAATTCTTCGTGAAAAGATGAGTCAGTTTTGAGAATTATTATTTACAAAGTAAAATATATTTCGACGAAGGAGTAATATAAAATAGCGAAGAAAGGATTATAATTTTACGATAATTTTATTATTTTTTTTTTTTCGATTAAGTTCTAGAATTATGGGACTTTTGTTTGTATCATACTCGTTTATTCGAATTTATTTACTTACCAAGTCAAAACTCCAGTTTCTCCCTTCTCTCTCCCTTCTTCTTGCTTTCTGGAGCTTGCGAATCAATTTAATCGGACCGTCGGTTGTTCCGAGAAAATCATAGGTGCTGGTCGGTTATTTAAGATACTGAGACCGCGAATCGACAGTGATTCTCAGCCGACGCCAATAAATTCATTAAGATTTCTTTTCATTACGATAGAAATGCATAATTTTAATTTGTTAAATAATTCTTTTTATGTAGACGTGTTTACAGGATTTATTTGAAAATAGACTAGGGAATTTTATTTTTCACTTCTTTGATGATAATAAAGTGATTACAAATACCATTGGGAATCTGCATAATGTTGATATATTATTATATCCATGTTAATTTCCTGTGTATTAATATTTCCTCTTCAGTTCATTTCCAAACATTTTGTATGATATTCCGTGAAAAAAATTTCTCTTCCTTAAATGCATGATATTTTACAATGTCCATAATTATTATAAACAGGTATTATAAAATATTTTAAGCATAATTGATAATCCTATTTTTAACCGATATTATAACAAGTACGTTATTAGGGATGATTAGTTTGAAAATAGGCAGATCGAGTGGATATACGTATTTAACCTTGCCTATAAGTAAGTGGACGGTAATTGAATGTCAGCATAATCTCGTGTACGTAATACACCATTACTTTTATTATTTCACGTTTGAAAATACATGATATCGATTTTCCGGAAATTGTTCTCCAATTCTTGTACCGACACCAATACTTCTTTTATGAATACGTATATTCTTAGAATTTTTAAATCTTCTTTCCTTCTCTTTTTAATTAAAAAAAAAATTCTTTCACAATTTTTCCATCTTCATTTTCTTCATCAAAAATCATCCCTTAAATTCAACCAAGAAATTATTACTACCTCAAAGAATACCTCACCTAATTCTATAGTTGACCCTTGGAAAAATTTGTCTCGAGTCGGAAGCTCGAAACATTACGCCAACTATTACCTTATATTATGTTATAATTGTAACGCGTAATCGATACGAGTTTCATTTCGACGACGTTCTCAATGCGAGAAAATACGAGTCCGCCATAGGGAGGAGAGAGAGAGAGAGAGAGAAGGGGGGGATAGCTCGTTGGATCCGCAACAAAACCTTCCTTCCCTCTTTCACATCGGGGGATGGGGGCCGTTGCACGACGAATAAATGGCCTGATTAAGCACGCCATTTTGCCTGTAATGTAATCTTTAAACGCGCGTCGACTTCTTTCGTTCGCATTGTGCTGCCCGTACGCGATGTCTCGTCGATCATTTCCAAGGATTATGCCCGGCCCTTTTGTCCACGCGATTATTCATGTTTCAGTGAGACAGAGAGAGAGAGAGAGAGAGAGAGAAGTCGTCGTCGATTCAACTTGTTGAGCTTCTTGCGAATATTTTTTTTCCTTTTCCTTTTTCTCTCTTTGTTCGCGATCGACTTGCATTTTGATTTTGATTTTGAAATAATTTTAAATTCATTATATATAAAATTTAATAAATTTAAAAACAAATAAAATTCGTGATT